TAAATTACAGAAAATTGTATACACACATGCATACAGCACACGTTGTGCATGCTTACAGACAGATTCTAATAAAAATCAAGTTTGAGTCCTTTGTTCTTGTTCAGATTTTTTTTTGTACCTTATACAAAACACTTGCGACTACCTTGTTCACTTCAGTGAAGGAAGCAATTGAGAAAGTAGAGTCACACTTGTTGTTGAAGAAAGCTGAGAAGTGTTGGAGATGGAATAACTCTGTAGGTGCACTGCAATCATCGAAGAAGGGTCCCTGGCCTGAGACATTTATGTAGTGCTGGGCCATCAGTCAGTCTTCCTGTCCATTGCTCACTGAGAATTCAGTGAATAAAATAACACTGCCTGTCTTCATGCACAGGGGCTTAGATGTGGCCTACAATGTGTGGCCAGTCTGGCATGTGCAAAGTTAATATAGCTTAGCCATGCTCTTATTGTAAAATTAGTTAAACTACCAATAAAACAGATGAAGAAACAAATACACATGTATATCGTACCACAATATAATGGTGATGGAAAAGCATATGGCCTGGATAACAAGCTGAAATTGCATACGATAGAACTTCTTTGCACAAGATTCAAAAAAGAATTAACCCTTGGTGAAGTTGCATAGGTTTTTTTTCAAGGTTGGAAAAAAATAATTCTTAGTATATTTGTCTTTCTCTTTGAAGCCTTATCTCCACAGATAATTTTGGAAGTAGAAGAGGGGTTGATTTGTATATGCTTCCTCTTCAGAACTAGTCTGCCAGTATTGCTTACAAAATTTCCAGTTTCAAGAAGCCTGCATTTCATTACTTGCATATCTATGCAATTCATGGGAGCCATAACACAGCAAAAATGATTTCTTTCTTTTTCTTTTTTAGCAATAGTAGGAAGAAAATCTTGGTCTTAGTTATAAATTCTCCTACCTGCTGTTCCAGGATTCAGTCATTAGATCATGCTTACTCTTGTGGTATGCACCAGGATCACATGACTTTAGCGCTCATGACATGTAGTAACAATAATAATACAACACCTACTGGTGTAAATAGTAGCAGAATGAGCCCAGGAAATAAGAGAATCTCTATCTGATCAGAGTTATGCTAAAATATCTTAGTAGCTGAATAGAAAATCCTGATGGCCCTTTCTCAGATTAGTAAGCACAGATTGCAATCTTTCTAGAAGTTATTCTATGTAAGTGAAATGAAAATGAGTTTTGCACTATGTATTTGCTAGAATGTATCACTTAGCATGAATTATCACTGGTGGGTAGGTAAATAGGCATATCATGGAGAAGAGTTCAATCTAGCTTTCTCCCTGATTGCTTGTTTGCTAAATGCAGGGTCTCCCTGTGGGGAGTTACACCCCCCCATAAGTGAGCATTCAAGTATGCAACCTCCCACCTGCCACCTGAAGTGGTGTACTGCAATAAAAGTGTTACTATCTGATTGATGATTGTATAAACTTAATTAGCCCATAGATTCCTGCATACTGTGCAATAGGTACTGGGGAGCTTCAAGGATGAAAGATTTCTCCAAATGCAAAAGATTGCCATCGTCATGTAAACAGCTTTGGGGCTAACTCAATGTTTGTGGGGCATGTATTAATTCCCCTCTCCTTAATGCTAATTAATTCCACAACCTTGAGCTCAGATCCTAGAGTAAACCACACATGCTCCATTGTCCTTTCAATTTCTTAAAGGACCCTTGTCTGATTTTGTGTACTTCTCAAAAGTCCTTCTGGTAAACCTTAATAAGTGACAGTTTGGGTAGGAGAGAGTATTTTTACTTTACCCCAAAACTGCATCTGTGGCACCAGGCTGTGATCAGGTGCACTATATAATTCCTACAGCCAAGACACAGCTTTCTTCCTTCTGGGTGTAGTTTAGCATTTCCTGCCTATACCCCTTGTGATGTCCTATATCATAGTTGTCTTTTTTTGCTCCAGAGAATGAACAGCATTAAAGCTGTCATAACAGCGTACCTCTGATGTTCCACTCAAAGGCCAAACTATGGACATCATGGATGTTCAGAGATGTACAGTGAGAGCCCCTGTGGTGTACTAGTTAGCATGTCAAACTAAAACAGCAAAATCTGATTCAAATATCCACTCAGGCAAGAAGTTCACTGTGTAATGTTGGGCCAGTCATTCTTCTCTCAGTCTAACCTAGCTCATGTTATTCTGAGAATGGGGATGGGGAAAATTTGGATGCTGTTCTGTACATTCTGAAGGAATAGGGGAACAAACAGAATTAACCATGAATTACTGTACTATGCTTCCATGAACACTATTATGTTATCTCACAGGAATATGATAGCCATTGAATTTTAGATATTCTTTCTTACTATCACAGTCAAACACAGAACTACTGTATAGATACTACAAATGCAAAATACAATACAAAATACTTTAATGACTAAGTATAAAATATATACAAGGAATTTGTCTTCGGTGACAAACAGCAAGATCAACAGTGCGT